ACAGGGGAACCGACTAATCGGAAATCGAGCCGAGTAGGACCACAAGGGCGGCAAAGCTCTCCCTCAAGAGTTTTAACACTGCTGCATTCCCAGGGCTCGAACTCGAGACCACTGGTTAAGCTGGAAGAGACCCAAGTCATCTCATCCAAGCACTCTCGGGTATTATAGCTCCTTTTTTACAGAATGTTTTACACCTAACTCCGGGAAATTAGAACCATTTATTACATTAATATGATTTTTTTTAATTAAATGATAAAATTGTAGTATAAATTGTATAATAAACTCTCATGTATCTTCATTAGGATTGCAATTTGCAAACGAGTTGAGTCGAGTTAAGCATTGACCTTATCGTATAAGATTGATTTTTTTTTTTTTGAGCTGCTCGAGCTCGTCGAGCTCTATTTTTTAGGCTCGAGCTCGATTCGATAAAAAATTATAATAGCTCGAGCTCGCCTCGAATTCAAAATACTCGAGCTCTCGAGTTCCGTTCGGGAATTTTCAAGCAACTCCCGGAAATTAGAACCACTTATTACATTAATATTATTTTTTTAAAATTAAATTAAAAAAATGTAATATAGATTGTATGATAAACTCTCGTGTGAAGTATCCTCATACGTACATATTATTATTAAGGCCTGAACTCAATTGGAAAAGTGGAGATCTATGCAACATTCTTTCGAACGCAGTAATAAATTGTATGCACCAAATAGGAAAATTGAAAATTCAAACCATAAATTTATTAATTTCCACCAAAAAAAAAAAATTATAAAAAGAATAAGAAAATGGCAAAATTACAATTTTAGTTCCGTTAGTTTGATTCAGTGGTGTTTTTAGTCGTAAGAATTGAACATTTTTGTTATTTGGTCCTATAATTTTAAAATTCAACGCAATTTCAATCATTTGTGATTGAGAATGCAACAAAATTTAAAATTACAAGACTTAAATTGGTAATCAAAAATTCATTTAAGTCCTGTAATTTTAAATTTTGTAGCAATTTCAGTACCAAAAGACTGAAAGTGCAGCAGAATACTAAATTACAAGATGAAAAGACAAAAAAAATTAAAATCTTGAAATTAAAAATGCTACAGCATTAAATTAGAAGGACTAAAAATACAATTTTGTACTATAAGAAAAATTGTAAACCAAACGTAAATATCTCAAGGACCCTCATGTCGAGACCTAGTGAATGGCCGGGTGGGCCTGTTTTCTTCTCCAAACGAAACAACAACCATTATTAAATTATTGAATTCGTTTTTTCCCAAGAATTTATGGTTTTGTTGCCTATATTTATGATGGGCCACAACAGTTGCAATATATTACTTTCATTTAATATTTTTTTCCTAACTAGCTAGGTGCACTCACGCATGACTAATAAGTAATAAAAGAAAATGTTAACACTTCCGTTATAGAATCATTTTGTCGAAATTTGTAATTGTTTAGATCATTATGTAAGTATCGTGGATAGTTAATCTAACGGTTACAAGCCCCGACAAAATAGTTTCGTAACGAAACTGTAAAATTTCCTAGTAATAAATTTGGATTGTTTGGTTAACTCACAATTTGTTATATTTCTTTATGTGGCATTTTTTTTTTTTTTTTTTTTCATAAATTAGTTATTACTGATTACATGTTATACATATATATTATTATTTTTTTTTTAAAATTATTATGAGATACTGAGAAGTACTAAAAATTTGAATAGAATTATATGTTTGTATGTACGGGGACATTTTATACACATATTTTATTGTTATAAATTTAAAAAAGGTATATTCAACTAATATTTTTTGAAATAATTGTATTTATTATTTTATAAATATGCATAGAGTAAAAATAATTAATTTATTACTAATTCTACAATTTTGAATATTAACCTATATATACTTTGTTATAAACATTTATTATATGAATCACAAATTATTATTATTTCATAAAATTAAATATATTTTTTTAAAAAAAAATATTTAGGTTATCCGGGTTTAATTAATTGGGCTATATATAGTACAATTTTTGTGTCACTTTCAGGTGATTTGTGGACACGCACGGGTTGATTGTTCAAGTTATATAGGAATTTCAGTATTAAAATAATTTGTTGTTATAAGTATAATATAATCTAAATAATAAAAAAAAAAAACTTTTACGAAAACATGTTCAATAAATATGGATATTTATTTATAAAATATATATGTGGACAATATGATAATATATTACAATTTCAAAATATTGGCTATGTTGTGATTCATGTTAATTATATATTGAACTAGTAGATATCCTGTGCATGTGCACAAGTGTTGTGCACAGATGTACATAAAATATTAGTAAGTAATATTTGATAATTTAATATTAAAATTCTAGATAATGAACATATTACATTTACACAAATTTGATCATTAGGAAAAATAAATTAACAATTTTATTATTATGAATAATTGTTTATTATCATTAGATAATAACAGTTTGATTATTATTATTATTATTAAAAAGATAATTGTTTATAAACTTCTAAAGTTGTTTGACTATGCTATTAAAACAATTTACTAATTGTTTTTAAAGAAATTTTTTCATGAGATACAAAAAAAAAAGATAATATTGATGTTAATATAAATAACTTGAAACAATTGTTTATAATAATGTAATTTATATTTATTGTGAACTATTATTAGTTGGTATTAGCAATAACTATTATATTATATAATAGAAAAATACATGATTACACTTAATAGGATGTGTTAATGTGAGAAGTAAAGAAATATTAATGATAAATTTTGTAACTGAAAATAGAGGAAAAAATTTTAGAAGTTTTATTAAATAGGTAAAATTAAATGCTAAGCTAGCAATTATATATATGTATATATTATTAAAAAAACAATTATTTATAAGATTCTAAAGTTGTTTAACTATGCTATTAAAACAATTTACTAATTGTTTTTAAAGAAATTTTTTTATGAGATACAAAAGAAAAAGATAATATTGATGTTAAAATACATAACTTGAAACAATTGTTTATAATTATGTAATTTATATTTATTGTGAATTATTATTAGTTGGTATTAACAATAATTATTATATAATATAATAGAAACATACATGATTACACTCATTAAGATTTATTAATGTGAGAAGTAAAAGATATTAATGACAAATTTTGTATCGAAAATGGAGGGAAAATTTTAGAGGTTTTATTAAATATGTTTTATTAAATGTTACATGTCAGCAATTATATATATAGATTAATTGTACAACTTTAATAATATATACATACATGTGTATCACACGGGGCCATATATAAATCAAAGACGTTATTGTTATTTTTGAATTTTGCTCCTAACCTTTATTACGAATTAATCATTTAATAAGTGTCTTTCAAATATATATGAACTTGTACAATACTCGTGTACAACACGGGTGTTGAGTTAAGAAATATATGATGAAATTTATTTACATCTAATACCAAATCTACTTTCAGAGCAAAACTAAAATAAAAACAACATCACGAAACATAGATTTTTATCATGTCAACATATGAAGCGTGGTCTGTCACCTAGGCTCAATATATATTTTAGGAATGGATACATTTATTTGGACGCTGGGACTAAAAAAAAAGTCTAAATTATATAAATAGTGAGATAATTAGGCAAAAAGTATTATAAATTTATAAAAAAAAAAGAATAAAAATAAAATAAAACGTGGTTGTAGCGAAATTTGACACGATGGCACGTGACAGCTAGTACATAAACGCCACGTCACTTGAAACGATGACGATACTGTTCACTATCCTCGCCTCTCTAGATCTATCCCTACCCCTACCATTTTTATTATTAATTATTATTATTATTTATTATTTATTATATTATTATATTATAACTCTCATTCTCTTTTTTCCCATACTCGCACACAGATTCAACCAAGCTCTGTCTTCGTTTTAAAACCTGATAAATATAAGTAACAATAACAATAATCTCTACATCCCACCCTGAGGTGAAAACAATGGTAGAGGTCTCAATTAATTTCTTTCTGCCCACCATTTTCAATTTTATTTTTCCTTATAATTAATCAATTAATTAATATTCAATGTTTTGCTCATTTTTTTTTTTTTTTTTTTTTTTGTTTTTTTTGTAAATTTTACATGAATTTATCGTTTTGTTAATCAGGAAGAGAAGAAGAAACCGGAGGAACCCAAGAAGGAGGAGGACAAGCCGGAGGCCGACAAGCCGCCGCCGGCGGAAGGCGGGAAAAAGGAGGAAAAGAAATCAGAGGAGCCCAAGTCGGAGGAGAAGGCTGCGGCGGTGCCTCCCTTGCCGCCGGAGATTGTGCTCAAGGTTTACATGCATTGCGAGGGCTGCGCTAGGAAAGTCCGCCGCTGTCTCAAGGGATTTGAAGGTAATTAATTAATCACTTGAAATCGGATCTTCATTTTTCTTTGATTTTTTTTCCTTTAAAAATAAAAATTGAATCGTGGGCAGGTGTTGAGGATGTAATAACAGATTGCAAGGCGAGCAGAGTGGTTGTGAGAGGCGAAAAAGCAGATCCGGTGAAGGTTTTGGATAGGGTTCAGAGGAAAAGCCACCGCCAAGTTGAGCTTATCTCTCCGATCCCTAAGCCTCCGCCGCCTGAGGAGCCTAAGAAAACCGGAGTTAAAGATGTGCCCAAAGCCGATGATAAAAAACCGGAGGTTTGGTTTTTTTTTTGTTTCCGCCTTTTCTTCTCTGTTTTTTTCTTATTTATTTGATTCATAAATAATAATAAAGGGAAATGCTACGGTCCCGGTACGAAACCATTCCGTCGAGATTTATAACCGGTAGATCAACTATCCTTCACGATTACATTATGATTTAACGGATACGAATCCCAACAGAATGGTTACGTAACAGGACCCGTAGTATTTCCCAATAATTAATTGTTTCGTATATTTGTTGTTGGTTTTGGTTTAGAAATGTATGGAAAATTTATGATTTTATGATCTAATGAGGAGTGAAATTGGGTTTTGATTAATTGTTGGTGTGAAATAAATCTTGCAATTATTATATATTATTGTTGGTGCAGCAGCCTGCAGTGGTTACAGTGGTGTTGGGAGTGTACATGCACTGTGAAGCTTGTGCTCAAGAAATCAAAAAGCGCATTCTCAAAATGAAAGGTAAGCGTGTTTCTCACTTTCCCTTTTCTTTAATTCTCAGTTTTGTTTTCAAATAGAAATGGGTATTTTCGATGCTTGCTTTACTTTCATCTACAAATTCAAAAAAATTGTTATCCTTTTTTATAATCCCATGTGTATACATTCTTTTGAATTAAAGTACTAATGTATTATCTACCCGGTTCGATTCCGGATTAGTCGGTTCCCCTGTGGATCTGGAAACCGGAAGGTCCTTGTACCACAAAAA